CCTGAGGTGTGAAACTTTCATGACCCTTCAGTACAGTTAGATAAAGGAGAGGGAAATACCTCTTTATTTCAAATTCTCAATGAAGAAGAGACCACACATGCGGTTTCAAAGGCTGACTGACAAAAGGAAAGATGAAAATGGTTCTTCGTTTCTGGTTTGAACTAATTTGGCTTTAACTTTCAGATACATGTATCTGATATATTAAAGGCCTTTATCAAAGTTACATTTTCTTTAAATATAATTATAGACCTCTTACTCATTAACATTATCCTTCTTAAAAGCCCAGTAGGGTTATTTCTTTGATCTGTTACTTTGGCTCATTTTCCATTCCTTTGGACACAATCATTTCAAAACCCAGAGAAGCCTATGTCCTGGTTATAAGAACTCACATTTAAAAGAAAACATCATTTCGAATTCATGAAGGCTGAGAATGACCTCAAATTCACGTCTTCTTCGCTCTTGTAACAAGGCTATTATTTGCTCACAACCATACTCAGTTCCTTGGGAGGACGTTTCTTAGACAGCTATCCCCCAAAGGACTATGTGGTCAGGACATTCAGTGCATTAAGTATCAGCCTAGAATCTGACACTAGCATCTAAGCTTGAGCAAAAAGTAAGGCATACACTCTTCCATTTGGTATCTGGCTACCGGCTACTTTTGTGCAGTGTACATGGCTTCTGAATGACATCTGTGAGACACATAATTCTCCCTTCTCACTGTAATAGGCTGTAGAATTATGGATTCTGAATTCCTCTTTTAGACTGCGTAATGCATAGGCACTGGAATGCCAAAATTGTACATGCCTAAATCTTTATTAAACCTGAGCTGTAATCAAAATGCAGCATTGTTAAAAAACTGAATTTCCCTGGATATACTTCCTACTTTCACACAGAACTATTATTCAAAACTTAGATATTCACCAAATATGAGTGTCTGATAATTTTTTTCCAGATGTCCAGAAGCTGAGTTTCTGGTCTGATTGGGGCTATCACCATGAAACATGCATGGAGTAATTCTTCTGTATCAGTTCTGAAACATATTAACTATTAAGATGGCAAGCATATACAAAGGAACCACAATTCATGCTTCATGCCTCACAACTGTTGAGAGTGGTATACGCACCCATATTTCTAGCTGGAATTTCCATACATAACTCTAATGCCTTAAAAAGTTTATTAGATTGACTCAGTTAATTTTGCTAGTAAAACTTTTGGGATTTTTTATGTATACTGAGTCCATCTGAAAAGATGAACTCATCACTATTAATTACATTACTGAAAAAGAATTAACTGAATCTATTTCAGCTTTCCTATTATTTTGCTTGAGAACAAATCACTTTAGTTATCATTTCAACTACTACTGCCACTTTCATTTTTTTCTCCCAGACTCTTGGAACTTTACAGTGTTCTGGGATTTACTAGAAATATACAAGTGAGTCCACATAATTTCTTGCTCTTCTTTCATACCTTGATATATTACATCTGTCACCTACACAGACACATTTAAGGACGTAACTAGAAAACAGAGGAATGTCAAAGACTGCAAGGTGAATGACTGGAAGCTCAATAAGGACTTAAATTTCTTTTCCACAGTTATTATGGCAAGTGTCTGTAAATCTGTAAAGGGCCCACCATTAGTAGTTAAGGAAGAAGAAATCAAACAGGCCTGCAAGTATCCTTATTCACCACAGATCATGACATTCAGCTATCACTGGAAAGACTGTGTGTTGACCAGTCACATCTATCTGAGTCAAGGTAAGCCAATTAACGTCAAGATTTAGAAGGACCACAACTCCAGAGCAGCTAGCTACAATCTTACTAATTTTCACCTCTAAGCTGTTACAAAGTAAAAGAAACGAACCTGTTTTACAATTAGCAGATTATAGACAGTATTTCTTTGGGGTTTTTTTGATGCATTTTTTTAATGACAGATAATAGCAGCCTGCAGTTCCACAAAGACAGTCTGCTAATCTCAATCATAGTTTCATTCAAATAAACTAACACAATTCTTTATCAACCAGGAGAAAGTTATGACTTAGTAATAAATGTTATTGAAGATTTCCAGAAGGGATGATAGTCATATTAGCCAGTACTGAAGTAAATCTGTGTTCCGTGTAGGAAAAAGTAATAGTTGATCAATCACAAGGAACTAGATATCACGGACTGATATTTAATTCAGTTCAAGTAGGACATTCAGAGAACCAAAGAATTCCTGAAGTAAAACAAAGAATTCCTGAAGTTATGCACTATTAAAGTCTTCAAATCCATTACATTTTGGAAAAGGTAGAAAGGGAAGTGAGAGCTGTAATATAACTCATTTGTTACATAATATGCTGTCTGTATCCTCTGGGATCAAATAAATTTTGTCTTTGTCATTTTATTGGGAACAACATATATCATTACTATTTTTCTCTTAAAATTCTTTATGCAAGATTTCAAGTTTATGGAACTGTCAAATACTTCAGACAGAAGATCCTGTAACTTTTTTTACATAACTGACAAATCTGTAGGGATTTGAGGTTGATTATGTAGAATTGAAATTAGAGAGGCTAAATATCTTTAAACTTCATGCTTTTAAAAATCTACGTTTAGTTATAAAAAAAAAAAAAATTACATTGAATGTTTTCTTCTCCCTTAAGATCAGTTTTAAATGTAAATGAAGAAACAGAAATAACTGCCATGTACCAGAAGAATAATTTGTCACCCAGATAGCCAGTTTTATCTATAAATGAACTTGCATTTTACTAAAACAGGAATAACATGATTGAGGAGCTATATACTAAATTAATAAAATTATAATTAAAAATGACAACATTTTCTGTGTTTTTAGTTATTATCACGTTAATATTATGGGTAATTTTTCTATTGTTTATGGGAAAAACCAATATTGTCCCTAAAGATATGTGTAATTCAACAAAAACATTGAATTAAGTGCAAGCTATGCCAAAAATGTGTTAAAACTAGTAAAAAATTCCAAAAATGATTTCACTGAACGTAGATGATAATTTTTATATTTATGCAAGTACATTGGGTGATTGGACATTACTTCAAAAGTTATCATATATATGTAATCATTTCAGTGTAAGAATACATTACAGAAAAACCCAGCCTTCCTCAATTCATCTTCTTCTTCTCTGTCTATGTGCAGAACATTGCTATATTACTCAGTAATTCCTCAACATTTTAATCACGGTCACTTTTCTTCCCTATTCACCAAATCTGGTAGGAAAGCAAGAGTCAAGGCTTTGGCACTCTAGAGTGTTTGGGGACCATGGAGCAAGTGTAGCATATTTTTACAGTTCAGGAACACATATAGTATTTCAGAACATTTAATCAGTATTCAGTAAAAACTCTCTCATGAACAATACATAAAGGTACTTCATTGGCAAGAAAGAAAGGAAACTAAGTAACTCTATTGATTCACATTCTTCTTACATTCCATGTGCACGTGTATCAACACACTAGTAGCAAACGAATATAATTTTTACATTGGTCTTCAATATTTTTCAGTTGAGCCTCCATTCAGATGCACCACTGTGGATGCTACATGGGTGACAGTGACAAGTCTAGAGAGTTTAACCATCTGCAGATTGAATTAAAAATATAACACTGTGCTATACCGGCACTAGATAAATATCAGATTTCAACTGCATAAATGGTTTTCAGCTTATTTCCGCAATTTGATTTCATTTGTATTTTCTGATACAGCAAGTTATTTTAGGAACGTTTGAAACATAAGTGAAAGGCTACACTTGTAACCTCTGAACCAAGTTTAGTCTCTGTGGGTCAAAAAGATCACTTTCGGCTTGAAATATTTAAAGAAGAGAGAGATTGCTTTTGTTTTTGTTAAACTACTGGAAAAAATATGACATAAATACGGTTATGTCACTCTGAAATGGAAACTACAGTGCAGGCAAATGTTAAAGACAGAGTCTCACATAAACTGTCTCAACTACAGGAAAGGTTGAGTGGGATACTAGACCAGACAAGACATTTGCTCTTTCAGAACAATAAAAAACAGACATATGTATTTCCTTAATGTACAGGAATTCCCTATAAATGCAGTGACTCACTGTGTATTTAATTTCCTGACTGGCATGATCACTGTTTAGTTTTGTCAATTAGTTTTTTAAGTAACGGCTATGAATATGCAAATAACTCTAAGAAAATTGTCTATGATTTAGCTGTTTGATTATCCGGACTCAAAATTCTGGTTTAGCCAGCCATAAAGATGCTATCTCACACTTTAACTAAAGCAGAGAAATTCTGTAGTTTCTGCAAGGAAATTAAGAAGAAAATACTTGTGCACCACTAAAAGGAAATTATTTCAGCTCCTCCCCCCACCAAACTCTTTGTATCAACAAATTATTATCCACCTGGTTGCAAATAACATTACCTTCTTCCTTACACCTTTTCCCCACAACAACTGACTACGTTCATTCTCACACTGCATTACTTCCCCAGTCAACTGATATTTGTAACAAAACAAGAAATTGAGGAGAGCTCCATTTCTAATTAAAGACTGCCTGATTTGTGCGAACAAAATAATGTAAAAAAAGAGGTAAAAAACAAAAAAAAACAAACAAAAAAAACAGAAGTGGGAAAGAAAGAACTCCAAAGCATTCACAAATATTTATTTTATATTTCTACAGGCTCCACTGCATTTTGAGAAATCCTGGACAGCCAAGAAGGGCTAAAGCCAGCAGTACCTCTGTAACCACAGCCATGATAACCAAGAAGAAACTGAAACCCTTAGTAGGGATTATTTTTGAAAATTTAGGCCTGATCATGTTAATCACCTTTCAGCATTTCAGTTGCCTTTTTTTTTCATTTTTAATTTTAAATTAAGAACTTATATGTTTCTGTTATTACCCTGTAAAACAGTAGTTCCTTCCAATTCTAAAGGAAGCACATCAAATTTTCTCTAATTTTCTATTTATGAAAACAAGATTAGTCAGAAAATACATATTTAGATATTTTAGACATTAAACATTGCTTACCTTGTCACCTTCAGAGAAAGTTACTCCATCAATGGCTCTTTTCCAAGTAATCTCTGGGATAGGTTCTCCTTCTGCTTCACAGGTAAGGGTTGCTTTCCCATTCTCAAAAGTGGTTTCATTTTTGAGCTGTATTATTTGAGGCTGTACTGTTAAAAACACAAATTACATTACTCACGGTGCACAAAGATTGTCATGTCAAAATCCATTTTTTAAAAAAGCACTCTTTTGAAAAAGGCACATTCATGTTTACTAGCTTAAGATTTATTAAAGGTTTAACATTACCATCTATAAGAGCGATCAGTTTTTTGGGCTACAAGTTGCATAACAATTTCTGTATGTCTGAAAGCAGTAAGACAGAAGCTACCTATGTCAGCAGCCTGAAGAAAGTGAAGCTTTGGAGTTTTCGGGGCACTTTGCAGGCAGGATGTGCCAATGGAGCCCCAGGATTGCCACTGTAACTCCACTGGAGAAGGAACCTCACCAGGGTTTCCAGGTGACCTTGCAAGCTAGTCTCTCCTAGGCTCATTTCTTCCCAGACCCTGAGATTCAAATGACTCATATAAAACATAACTTTGTGGTTGATCAGATCTCTCAGTAGTTGTGTTATAGCTCCAACTGAACTTCATGCTAGCCACATATGACTGGAGATAGAGGAGTTACACTTGTACTAGTAAGTTAAACCATACCAAGGAATGTTCCAAGGTACTGTAACTTGGCTGCCTACTCCTTCAAATTCTTAAAATGGTCCCTGGCAAAGGTTTGGAAACTAGTGTTTCATGACAGGACCCTGAGGGCATTATTATGCCTCCCCAACCCTGCCCACCTCCCCAGGGCCTCCCACCACCCTGGCCAGGCCCCGGGCCTCACTTCAGACCAGTCCAGGGCTGTCAGTCCCTGCCTCAACACCACCACCATAGTGGTGCCACTCTCCAGCCCTGCTGCAGCCCTTCCCCTGCCTGGCAACAGGCCTCACTGATCCTGACCTGTGGACAGACTGCCTGGCCTGGCTTTAGCCTGGCCCTGTTACCATAACCTTGTCTGATGATCTGAAGTCTTGCCTGAACCTGGCTGCCATCCCTGAGGCTGCCCTGCTTGGGTACTCTGGGATGGGCCCCTTCCCCTGCCTTCCCAGTTACGCTGTTACGCTTGGCTCTTGGCTCCTTGGCCCCAGGCAGCAACTCTTCCTTGCTGCTCCCTGATGCTTTAGGAATGAAGGAAAAATTCAATTGTTTCTGTGATGATTCTGCACTTGGAGAAGAATAACCGCAGGCACCAATATATACTGGGAGCTGACTAGCTAGAAAGGAGATTTGCAGAAATAGACCTGGGGGTCCTGGTGGACAAGTTGTACATGAGTCAGTAATACACCCTTGTGGCAAAGAAGGCCAACAGCGTCCTAGGCTGCATTAGGAAGAGCACTACCAGCAGGTTGAGGGAGGTGATCCTTCCCTTCTCCTTAGCTCTGCTGAGACCGCATCTGGAGTGCTGGGTCCAGGTCTGGGCTCCCCAGTACAAGAAAGACAGGGACGTACTGGAGCCAGTCCAGTGAAAGGCCATGAAGATGATTAAGGGACTGGAGCATCTGTTGTGTGAGAAGTGGCTGTGTCACCTGGGACTGTTTCACCTCAAATAGAGAAGGTTTAGGGAGATCTTATCAATGTGTATGAATACCTGATGGGAGGGAGTAAAGAAGAAGGAACTGTATCCAGTGTCAGGATAAGAGACAACCGACACAAACCAAAATACAGTAAATTCCACATAAACAGAAGAAAAATCTTTTTTACTGCGAGAGCGGTTGACCACTGGAATAAGTTGTCCAGATCAGTAGTGGAGTATTCATCTTTGGAGATATTCGAAATCCAACTGGGCATGGCCTGGAGCAACCTGCTCTAGCTGACCCTGCTCTGAGAGGGAGGTTGGACCAGATGATCTCCAGAGATCTCTAGAGATCTCCATCCTCAACTATTCTATGGTGACCTGATATTGTCTTCTAATATTAATTATTGGGAGAAATACAGAATTATTACTATTCTTGGACTTTAATCTTCAAAAATATCTTCCTGTCTTAGACACATTACTGAATTTAGCAGTCTTATGACAGCAAAAATATAGTACTTGGATTAACACTCTTAAGAATTGAAAAGTCCTCTGATACAAAGTTTTACTGAGTAAATTGATGGAAAAATACAATTTAAAAAATCCAGATATCTGTTTGCATTCTTCAAATTATCCCACTTTACAACCATTGGTGCAGAGCAACCAGAGCGCTCAATCTGTATTGCACCTTGTCAGGTTCTTTACATATGCAACACTATGCATGGTTACATGTGAACACTCTTGTTTAGAGGACTTATCTGTTGTAAAACTATGCATAGAATGTTACGGTCTTGGACAGCTTTCAAATATCTTCATTACAAGTTTTGACTCTATTTACTCACTCATACATAACCATTAATAACTTTCTCTGCATCTTTCCACTTTACACACCGAATGAGAGATCCATCTTGTGGGAAAGACTAGTATGTAATCAGGTACCTAGAGTGTGATTCAATACGTCTAGACCCAAAAGCAGTGAATTAAATTTACACAAGTAAATCTAATTTTGACAGCTCTTAACATTGACTTTATAAACATTAATGATATTTATTGAAAATGATGTATTTTTCATATAGTTTTATTGAGTTTTGCTTTTAAGGAGCTGATTTTAAGAAAATCATAGCATACATATTATAATAAATGTAGGTCTGTCCACAAAATAGACTTATATTATTGAGTTGAAGGGTTTATAGCTCTACTATAGTGTATTCCACATAGCTCATTACTGCAAGACACCAGTTCAGCTGAGGAAAGCTGTAACTTTCCTCAGTGGTAAAGCAGGGGAAGCTGTTTTAGATAAATACAAAGAATTTGACGATAACAAATAATCATGTTAAAATTTTTAAAAAAATTACTTCAGTTATACTCTTACACTTAGGATCATCCAAATGCCTATAAAATATTTTATCTAGCATAATTCAGGTACTCTATTTCTATAGCCATGTCTCTTGGCTAGAATATTATCTTTTCTTCCCTATACGTACATTATGGCAAGCAATACGATTTCCTCAAGAACATGAGGCATGTTCTAAAACATATAGTTAAAACTCTGCCTTTTAAATTGAGGCATATATTCTAAATTTCTTTAAAACTTTCTTCAAATGGATCACAAGAAGACACAAAGTTTTAGCTTGGCATTTTAGACATGAGCAGCTGACATTTAAAGGAATAAGCACTGATTAATCATGGAATATAGCTAGCTGATAGTTATTACTAGGGAGAAGAAGAGAGCTTAAATGAAGACAGGATACTATTTAATGGCTTCATTTTTATAGGTCACAAGTCATAATTTGCTATTGACTAGAAGTTCTTATACTGTTTGACTATCTTTTAACTACGTTTAGGATATTGGAAAATATTAAAATAATTTTCTGTAGATGCAAGTAACAATATTTATTTCAGAGTGCCAAGATAAGTAGTGAAAGAAATACTGGAACAGTTTTTTTTTTTGGTTTTTTTTTTTTTAAGTTCTGCAAAGTTCTGTAAATGTTTTCTCTAAATTGACAAGGTCATTCTCAAACTGAATTGGTATTTGCTTGCAATAATCTTTAACAAACATGAAACAAATGGAAATACTGGGTCTTGGCATGTCAGTCCAGGAAGCCTCCAGGTCTTTGCTGGTTCCTGCAGTCAAAAATTTTGAACTACTTGCAATATAATGAGCCTACAAACTGTAAACTGATTGAACTACCTGGCTGAAATGAAAGGTTTGTGGTGGAAAGGAGTTATACTTGAGCTTCATGCTCATTACTAGAGATGCATTCTGAAATGTTAATGGAGTGATACTACCATTTATAGGTTGGAAAGTTTTGTTCTTTGAGTGGAAAAGGTTGGTCTTAAGTTCTCTAACACTTTCTCAGCACAGAAGTTGTTTCATAAATAAAAGGATCAACAAAGTTTCTTTCAGATTCCTTCCTTGGTTGCTTCCACATTTGTCTAAGATAAGAAGAATACCTTTTTTAATAGTGAGTCTAAGCTCATCACTGTGTACTTTACAGCATTCGCCTAAAGCTTAGGAAGAACATGGGTAGCAATTTGAGGTTCTAAATTTGTTATCGGTTGTTTCCAAACAATTTTTTTTCACAAAGGTACAAAATGTAGTGAATTCACAGAGTTCTACCCATATCTTTGACCAAATAGGTTCATCAGACTTGAGAGCAGAACATATACAAAGCTTGAGACAGTCCTGATATAGCACTTCCCAGAAGGATCTCTTGATTAACATGAAACATGAGGAATCAGACTCTTACACTGTGTTCCTGCATGGCAATATTTGACTCAAATAGCGAAACTGTAACCCTGTTCTGAAAATTACTGGTACTATTTTGAATTTAGTAAACAAGTCAGAGCCCTAGAAGAAATCAACACATCTAAGAAACAAATTCCTGAAATATGTTTCCTGGCCTAATCGGGACTTGCACACACACAAGTATCAAGTGGTGACTTTATTTATTCCATGTAAAATTTATGGATGAAAGAGTTATAAAAGGTTAGCTACCAAGCAGAGACAAATATTAAAAATACTTTTAAAGAATACAAGGAAGAACACCTGTGTTTTCAAGTAGTTCAAAAGAACTAAGCACATACAAATTTTTATCAAAAACCTTAGCACAAGTTCTAGGCATTAATATGGATGAGATCTTTTAGGTAGTATTGGGTAACAACACAGAGAGAACTGTACAGAGATAACAGGATGATGGAGAGAGATTACCTAATCATGAACAGTAAGAAATCCTCTGTGAGGGAAACAGATCTTTTCTTATTCAAGATATTAGGACAAAATACCTTTTTAAACACTGATAATGGACAACTGTGGAATAGAAACAAAATCTAGGTCACACATGGAAACTAAACAGATGCAGATGTTTGATGGCACTAAGATGGGCATGTCCATTCAAAAAAAGAGAAGAGTACTAAAAAAATTTCAATGCTGAATGTTTTTATTATTGCTCTATGGTTAAATTACTTTTATTACAGGTTTCAATCCTGCCAGAGCCCTGTTGTAGTACAAACAGTAGTCACTGCCCCAAGGAATTTGTATTTTCAATTAAAATTAAAAGATAACAGGTAGGTGAGACAAACAAGCTAAGGGAGTGGAAAAGAATAGAGTAATGTAAATTAGTAGATCATTTTAACACAGATTGGCTGTTTGTGTACTATTTAGCTACAATAATTAGCCATCTGCCTTGCCATTTTCAGACTGCCATTCTATGAATGCATTTAGGGGGAAGAGAAATAGAATATGTTGTTAACTGCATATATTACTGCAAGTTTAACCTGTGTAAAAGATACAAGAGAAAAAGTGAAGTTCTTTGTAGGAGAAAATAAAACAACTTTGGTCCACAATTTCAGAGTTAAAGTAAGAGATGAATGTTGTAAAGGAAATCACACTGAGCTTTAGAGATTACAAATAAGGTAAGAGGCTTATTTTTTGATACAGTTCCCTGAGGTCAAATCAGCAGTACACAGATTATTATAATTTAATTGAATTACATCCAATAGTAAAGCACATAGGAAAAATAGCTCTAAATATACATACTCAGTCATGTGCTCCAAATTAGCTATTACCACTCAAGAAAGAGACCTAGGAGACACTGCAGATGGTTCTGTGAAAACAGCAGTTCAGTACTCAGGGATAGTCAAAGATGCAAACAGAAAAGGCACTGAGATCAAAGCAGAAGCACCACTATGCTGCTGAATATCCAGGTTCTCCCTGCAACTGGAATCCTGCATGTCATTCTCTCCTTGCCATTTCACAAACAATGTATAAAATCAAGAAACATAAACAAACAAAAATCAAAACACCTCTGCATGGTATTATTCTTATTTCTAAAAAAACAGAGTTTAAAAGTACAAATAAC